TTCATTGTAAACGAATCTTGACAATGTCAGGTTCCCGTCACAATCTATCAGTGTCACTCAATAAGCAGTGGTGTGACCGTTAGTCCCTTTGAGATTTGCCTCCTTTATCAGGGTCAGCCTGTGGGAAAATCTTAACAAATAGTTACATGTCACCTAGGTATAAGTGATAGTAATACGGTAGTTAAATATACTTTTACTATTTTAATACATGGTAATTTAAAAGGCATTTACATTTTACAGATCACTTTAGTTTTGTGTTTGATTACTTTATGTGTTTTCTATCTAAAATGCATAGAAATACTGTGGATTTCTCTTTGGGAACCTGTTTCTCATTGGATATATTTAGGAATGAAATGAACAAATTAATGAATATACGTAATTATTTGGACTAAGACTTTAATTGGTGCTACACATACACACACTCAAAATTGTTACTGTGTTTTTAGTAAAGAGAAACTAACAATATCTTTCTCCAAAACATTTTTCATTCCCTTTCCTACCTAAAAATTGTGCTTCCCTTTATTTCTCTTTATTCTTTCCCTTTATTTCAGTTTATTTACAAGAACCAGTTACTAAAATTTGATTTATAATATAGTCATATTTGTAGTCCATTTTCTTGCATATGTTTATGTAACAGGATATTAAATAAAATTTTTCCTGTGGTCGCCAACAAGAAAAAAAGGTGTCAGGTACTCCTCATTTCAAGAAAGTAAAAAACAATTGGTACTTATTAATAGCAACTGAATCAGCATTGCTGTCTTAACTATCACTCCAGACTTCATGAACAACCACCTTCTTCCTTTGTAAGAGTAGGCCACACTCATTTACGAACATTCATTTATAAGATGGGATGTGAAGAGGTCATTCTTTTGAAAGGACAGCAACTTGTAGGTATGGCTGTGGTTTAATAATTCCTGTTTGAGCATGCTTCCTCACTGAGAAGGTCAAGGGAGGGGAATTCCAAGATAATTACTCAAGGATTGCAGATGTTTCCACCTCGTTTGGTAGCTGGATTTCTGCTTAAGTGTGAACTGCTGATTGGGAGCAGGGGTTGGAGGTGGTGGCAAAGAATTGAGGAGAAGGGAGTAGGCTGGAGAAAGTGGACATCAGAACAAGAGGACCTACACTAGGAGGAGGGCCTTAGTATCAAGAGGCAGTTTAGGGAGTTTAGGGAGCTTAGAGGATCATGAAGCTGGAGGAGATTCTACTGTGAGGGACTTGTGCAGTTAGGAGTTTCCCCAGTAAGGATTCCCTTAAAGGATCAGACATTACCACCACGGAAGTATTTAGATTTAGGCCTCTACCACTTGGAAGATGTCAGTTGCCTAAAGGCGTAGCCACAGAAGTTGCAGTGCAGGGGAAATTTAAGCAGGAACCATTTAATCAGAGACGTTTATTCTACTACCCAGAAGAAAGAGAGGAGGAAGACAGGATGGTTGAAAAGCTGAGCAAGCCTCTGTCTTCCAGATACCTACACTCTAGAAATGGCTAATGCTAGTGGGGATGGGGAAGCAGCGATGACAGTTAACTAGAATGGATTTATTTATTTATTTATTTATTTTTGAGACGGAGTCTCGCTCTGTCGCCCAGGCTGGAGTGCAGCGGCGCGATTTCAGCTCACTGCAAGCTCCGCCTCCCGGGTTCACGCCATTCTCCTGCCTCAGTATCCCGAGTAACTGGGACTACAGGCTTCCGCCACTACGTCCGGCCGATTTTTTGTATTTTTAGTAGAAACGGAGTTTCACTGTGTTAGCCAGGATGGTCTCGATCTCCTGACCTTGTGATCCGTCCCCCTCGACCTCACAAAACGTCCGGCCTAGAATGGATTTATTATACTCAAAATCTGCTCAAGGCTCTTAAGGGATAGAATAGGGAACCTTGACAAAGCTTTTTTGAAGGCAGTAATTAGAGGAAAACGGAAACCATTTTATATTTGTAACTCATCGTTTCTGACTATTCAGTAATCTGGTACCCTTAGAGTAGGGTATCACAATTTAAGGATATATTTCTGCATTTCAAACCTGGTCCATCATAAAATATGTATCACAAAATGCAGTAAAAATATCAAGTGAGGGTGAGCCAAGGGAAATAGTCTGAGTCCATGAAGACTAAGACATTACATCAAACTTATTTTTCAAAAGCTTTGTTTTAACGTTGGAATGGGGAGGGACTAAGCGGGGAGAGGACCTCCCACACCTAGTCCTTACAGATTTGAATTTCAGTTACACTAAATCTTGAAATAACCTTGCTTGTCCCATCTTTTACACAAAAGAAAAACTAAACACACACAGTCACTCTTTATATATAAATTCCATATATTTAAATATGTAGGTATTAGTATATTTTTAATACCAGTAAGTCAGTTTTTTCTGTTTCTGTCTTCCCCTGCCGAATATTAGAAGTTTCTTATATATCGAATCTGCTGCTGTTTCTTGCGGTCTTAATAGTAAATATGAATTTTAAAGGTATTTATGTGTGTATATATATATTTTGTGTGTAAGCATAGTACATATATGCTGGTTTATATCGTGCTATATGTTGGCTTAAAACAAAATTGTGAAGTATGCACTTAATAACTATGGGCATGTCTTGTTCTGAAGTGGCCTATTTTCAATTCTTATTTATTCATGCTAATAGAGGAAAAGGATGTTATAAATAATGCAAAAATCACTTACAGCTGACTTGGTTATATATTGTATATTTTTCATCAGACTTAGTTTCTTAATTGTTTGCTCTATTTATTACCCAAATGAGCTAACATCATGAGTATTTAACAAATGATGATTGGCGGAGATGGCTAGAAGCATTCTATGTATCGCGAAAATCTAATATAGCATTAGAAACTTACTAGAGAAAATTCACATATGAATGCTTGATATTTACCTGTGCACAAGGGACTGATATCTGTGATGCAAAAACAGATGTGAAAATGAATAGTGTTTTGTCTATAATTTGTTTTCAGAGTGATTTAATCAGAATTTTAAGATAATATTTTACACCTTAATAATGTGAAAAATAGAGTTATTGTGCATCTCTACTGATATGAGTGAAATTTAAATATATTTGCAGAAATAACTATTTCCCATTTATTTATTTATCCTGGCAATAAGGACTTCAATAAAAGAGGACATTAGTTTAAGTGAACAGAAAAACAAAAGTAGATTATAGGTGTAAATGGAGCTCAAACTGAATCCAAAATAATGAATGTCTATTTTTCCACTCCATATTTTAGTTAATTATCCTCAAATATGCAATCTACTATGAATATGTGATGGTTACATTTGTTGAAAATTTAAATGAAGTATAAAATATAGAGAAAATTACTTATTATTTCTTACTTTCCAGCACAATTTTTATATTAAAATAATATTTATTCCAAAGCATGATTTCTATATCCCGATAGTCAGTTTTAACTGATAACATACAAGGTAAAATCAATGCTGAATCATAATATTTGACCAAATCAAATCCCACAGATTTTGGGAATTAAGCCTGCAATAAAAAATTGCATGTACTTTGATAAAGGCAATGTAAAGAGAAGATGTTTACAATGTTTTATAATAATAATCTCTTGATAGCATACATTTGAAAAATTCATCTATTTATAGTTCTTGCATGTTTGACTAGTACCTTAGAATAAGTGCCAAAAAAGTTATGAGAACAGAAATAAGGTATATAAATTTGTGAATATGAAAAGAACTTTTATATCACAGTGTAGGAGCAAGCTGGAGAAATTTCATTTATGTGAGTCGTTTCTGCATGAAGCTATAAACTTTTTTTAAACCAAAAGCTGTCATGGTTTCTTGTAAAATAATAAAGATAATAAAGATATCCATTTTAATTGATCCTTTTCATTGTTTAATAAAATTGCTTTGTTTGATTGCTGAAGAATTTGAATTGAGTTTTCATTACCCACTTCTGAACAATTTACTCTAAGATCCAGACAGTATTGAGCTAATGAGTTTGAATTTATATTGAACCTTAACTGTCTTCATGAAGTAAATGGAAAAAAATCATGGCAGTAACTAAGTATTCTTCATTAAGAACTATGTCGTAGAGATTTTACAATGAGGCTTTTAGCAGAGTTAAAGCATTAAATTGGAGTTTTACCAACTCTGCTGTTTCTATGCATATTATATGAAAATATGGTTTCTTTTTTTAAGAAATAAAAAAGTCATGAGCTAATAGAGATATTACAGAAATTTCCTCTAAGTGGATAGTTTGTATTTTCAACAGATTCAGTTAAGGAATAAATTAATATTGAATTAATTTAATTTGAGAGCACATTGAAATTGAAATGATTTATAAACACCTTCCAAGAAGTATTCTAATAAGGTATTTCGTGAACTTTTAAAATCCAAGGAATTGCCACCAATATTGAAATGCAGGTCCTCAGTTGAGTGACATTGACATGGAGACATAAATGTATGTTTCTCTTTATTGAAAACAAGTGATGTATTTATTCATACAAACATGTATGCATATTTAATTTTTGCTTTGGCATTATATTCTATAAAGTGATCTTTTGTGTTCTCTGTACAATGTCTAACCAAGCTGGACATTTAATGGCTCCATTTTTAGGATTTGCTGTGGAATGAAGTTAGGCACTTTATTTGATGCCTAGGATGTCATTTACTACAAGGATAACTTTGCATTCTATAAATATTAGTGTGTTTCAATTCCAAGGAGTAATTAATTATCTAGTTAATATAATAGAGACAATTTAATATTAAGCTGGATAGCCAACACAGTATTAGACTCCACCACTAGGTTAAATGTTGCAGAAATATTATTTTTTAAAATTTTGAGATCCTATATAAGAAACAGAAAATCAAAAAGAATGTGCAGCTTAGGGGAAATTTACTTACCTCAGCTTATTTCCCCAGAAATCAGTTTTCCAACTCCAAATGTGATATATTTTTTAAAACGTCATTTTAAATTAGTCGTTTTAAGATTTGGAATAATATTATATCCAAGTAATTTATATTCATTCCCCACAGGCAGCAGTGATGGTTCCTGGGATAAGGAAACACTGCCCTCTTCCCCATCCCAGGGACCTCAGGCCTCTGTAACCCAGCCCCGCTTGCCTGGAGCACGTAGCCTTCCACTTAGTCATCCTCTCAACCATCTTCAGCAGAGCCACCTTCTGCCAAATGGTACGATGGCATTTTTTAGCATTAAAAAATCGTAGTTTTAAAAATTGTAATTATCGGTTGGCAAAATAAGACATAATACAGAGATATACTATATTTACATAACTAATTGGGATAAGTTAAAGAACACCCTAGTATTTTAAGCAAGATTCAGACTGATTACAGGAATAATATAGCAAAGAATTGACCATTTGTATTAAACACAGGAAAAGTTAGGAAATGAAAAACCATGGGACCAAACCAAATAGCTATAAGCCTAGTTTCCCTGAGTAGTGAGTGAAATTTTTGCATACGAAGAGGAAAAATATTTTTTCTTTGACTATCATTATTAGAAAACTTTTGAATGTTTCAATTTTTAATGACTTATGCCCTCCAGAGCAATGATGATATATGTGCATTTTTTATAGGACTGGAACTTCCTTTTATGATGATGCCCCACCCTCTAATTCCTGTCAGCCTACCTCCAGCGTCTGTCACCATGGCAATGAGCCAGATGAACCACCTCAGCACCATTGCAAATATGGCGGCAGCAGCACAAGTTCAGAGTCCCCCATCCAGAGTGGAGACATCAGTTATTAAGGTAATTCTTTATTTATACAATTATTTTGGCATGTTCATCTTAAGCCACCATCTATTAATCCATTTTTCTTATTCCATAAGTACATTTGAACTCTAAAAAGCTAAGTGATAGTAAATAGATTATTCAAAGAGTAGCAAGTGGCCCCAGAGGCACACTACTTACTTAGGCAGGCTAGGGTTGCTTTAAATTCTCTATATATCTATTAAGATAGAGAAAAACATAGGACATTAAATGTTATAGTTCAAATTGTCTGTGTTCTTACATGGGTAGTTGTGTGTATGTGTGTGTGGTGTTATGAGCATTTATGTGAGGAGAATCAGAAGACCAGAAGGGATAAATTCTGCCACTTTCTAGCTCTGTCACCTTAGACATGTAACTCAATCTTCCTGATTCTAGTAAATATCTAATAAAGGCATAATCTAGTGTGGATTATTTTGTAAAAACTAAATGAAGTAATAAAATTGGAAGTTTCCACACATTCAAAAATACACTAAATTGAAGGTAACATTATTGTTATATAAACTTCATATGTGCATATATACACAATTCTGTCTCCTCTATCCCTGTGTATCTGTGTGTGTATGTGTGTGAATTGTATGAGTTTATATATATATGTATATATAATCTTTTTCCTTTATATTATTTTAAAATGTGTACTTAAAATATTTTAAGTGCATTGTCTGATTGGCCAAGGAGTAAGAAAAAACAAAAAATTAAGAATAGATTATTGATTTTTAAACTAAGTAAAAGATATTTTATGCTTCATGATCATTATTTGACATTACAATTATCCCATTTTTCTGAATACAATACACTTAAATTTTAGGGTAGCCTCTGGAGTACATCTTATATAAAAGGCCCTGTTACTACTTACATACAATGTTGAGTAATATGCAAACAGGAATTTTTCTCATGTTAAAGGCTCTAAAAACAAAGATATGTCCCAGATGCTTTGAGCAGTTTCTGTAGTATCAATACCAGAGGAAAAATAACCCAAAGTCTCACAGAAGACCCGGATCAACTACTCAAAGATCGCCACCTGAGAGAACGCCAGTGAGTGCCACATTGATCTCAGCCAAGGAACTAATTAAAAAAAAAAAAAAGACCTTTGAAAACTCTTCTGTAAGAGGGAAATTGTTACCAGATTATTCAATAAGCAAGATATCACTGTATTGTTTGATTTATGATGATGTTTGGTAATAGGTATTATTGAGAATTAAGAACTCTGATTGCCTCGCTCATTAAAGTTATCTAGAAGAGGAGTTTGGCTGAGGGAAAAATCCATTTAAGTCTACTCATCATCATACTCAATGGCTACTTTAAGCAAATGTTACAGGGTACTAAGTATTAATTTATACGATGTGATTATTCTCATTAAAAATATCTGGTTGTGATTACTATAATCATCTCATAATATTAATTATGTAATTTTTACTTTCAAAACTGGTAACTATTTAAAATCTCTCATTTAGGTAAGATTTACATTAATAAATAAGGCAAACATATGATAGAAGAGCAGATTTTAGCAAGTCATAATGGGTGTCTAAGTTATGACCTGTAGCTAATATTTGCATGAGGAATGGCTTACTTATTCCTGCATCCAAAAGCCTTTATTTATATCAGGATACTTAATTTAGTTTATTTTGCAATATACATATATTTTTAAAAATAGTTTGCTACTTGTTAATTAGAATACTTGGGGGAACTCCTTTTAATACATCCTTGGTTGTCAAAGTTTCGATAAGCAGGAGGAAGAAGTTGAGTTTCCTCTGGGAGAAGTCTACGGAAAATAATTTGGGACTCAATGATTGGGAAGTCAGAAACATTCCTGTGTTTTCTTAGATTAAGTTTAGGAATGGAAAGGAGGGGGGTATATGAAGAAAGGAAGAAAATACACAAAAAGAGAAGAAAATGAGGTCGCTTTATGTTTTGAAACATGTGCCAACGCCTACTAAGTCATAGAGATATCTCACTTCGTCTTTTGTTGCAAATCTTTTCAGAAACTTGGTTACATGCGGATTAAAGGGAGTTGTGGATTTTGAATGTGTTGATGTAAATGGTAATAGTAGCAGCCAAATAGGGAACAATGGCTGTAATTAAGAATGATTATAGAAAGTAAAATCTGATAGTTTTTATTGCCAACATCAAAGTGAAGTTCAGTTGGCTGTTGTGGAAGGGCAGAAAGGCCCATTTTTATCATGGCACCCTTATTTTGTGAGACAGGCCATTCGCATAGCTTCAAGTTTGATGGTGACAGGTAAAGATTATTGAAAGCAAACACATTTTAAGAAAGGCAAGAGATGATTCTAACAGTTTTAGGTGCTTAAAGGCATCCACATAACCTGATAAAAATCAAGTGAGTGTCCTCAGAGAATAAGCGTGAGGAATAGGTCCTCTAAGAAGTTCTAAGTATTAGAGAGAACAAGTTAACAAATCAATCTGTCTAAATGTATATATTGGTTGACTGTGTAGTTCAGGCAGAGTTTAGTAAACTCACTTAATAGATGTTAATTAAGTTTAGTTTTGGGGAAGTTTTTATTTTCCTCAAATAAAATAGTAGACTCTTACATCCCCTGTAACAGCATTGGACACATGTGGGTAACTAGAATAGGGACTACACATTGGTTTGCCTGGGAAGATTCTATTAATAAGTGTGAAGGTCTGTTGCAAGTGAAGTGTTAAATATCAAGGAAGATTGAGCCCATATCTCGGAATTATAAAGCAACTGGAGAAATAGCCTTTAAAGAGAAAATAGAACTTTGAGAGATGTTCTAAAAGTTGGAATATACCGTTTACATTTTTTGAGAGTAATGACAAGACTTAAAACTGAACCTAAATGCAAATGGCAATAAGAATTTGTAGGACAAAAGAGAAGCAAAAATATAGCTTTCGGAGTTACATATTTTAAAATATTCTTTGTTTAGCTGTTTCTATGAAGTGAAGGAGCTCCAAAATTTTTTTCATAACATATCTTCAATGCCAGGACATTAAATGGAGCAGGGTCTGAATCCCCAAGCTTCCAATGTTGGGTGAAATCTATTCTGCTGCTGGTTTTTATGACCTGTGAGTTAAGAATGGTTTTGCATTTTTAAGTGGTTGGAAAAAAATAGAAAGAAAAATATTTCATGACACATGAGAATTATATGAAATTCAAAATGTAGTGTTGGTAAATAAAGTTTTTCTGGGGATACAGCCACATCTAAAGTTATGTAATGTCTATGGCTATTTTCACGTACAAAGACAGAGTGGATTAAAATACTTGCTATTTAGTCTTTTACCAAAAAAGCTTGTCGATACCTGTGTTAGACCTCTAATTAACCCAAACCCACGTGAATCTCAGACTATGGAAAAGTGAAGCAGCTCAAACTAAACTCTCAAACACAATAGAACCAAGTAGAAAAAAATAAAATAAAATAATTGAGAATTTACGGTTGAAAGAATTAAATACACTGAGGAAAAGAAAACTAGATAGATGAAGACTTTCCCACTATGGCATTGTTATTTGCTTTACATGCAAGTGTCCATGAAAGAGTCTGGTCTGCTAAAGTACTAAACTTAGACTTTCTATGGCTGGTTGTATTGAGTATAATCAAGATTATTTTGAGGAGGAAATTTACATATACTCTTTAGACAATAATAATTCAAATTAAAATTCCCAGTTGTGTGGATATATGCACAATTCCCCCTCCTCTCTCTAACTCCCTAAATATCTGCAGAGATATATTAAATAATTACAAACTGTACCTGTATTAATTTCTTATGTGTCAGTGATGCCCATATACTTTTTCTGTTTAGCATTCATAGAACATCAAGCAACTTAGACTTGAGATGTTATGTAATTCAGCTTCCCCCATAATGGAGAAATAATTCCCACATCCTTCTTACTCATTTTCATATATCTAAACTTTTATAGGATGCTTAATCTATTTTCAGCAAATTTAAGAGTGAGAAGTATATTCATTAATCAAATTAAAATTTGCATCTCAATAGCTTCTACCTTAACTTGGTTATATTTTATTGGAAGAAAACTGTCTGCTAATTCTTCAGGGTTCTAGCCATTTCAATATTTAAGCCCTCTGGTTCGGTACCTATAGTGTTTCTGTTTTCTAGGCCAATTATTCTAATTTGTTCTGACTATTCATCTTTTTGGTTGCCTTCTTTTTATTGAAGTTACCCTCTATCCCACCATCCTCTAGAATTGAATTGTGCAATGAAGAGACACTAGACATCAACCTCAGTTTGGACAATAATCTATAAATCTAGTCATAGTTCTTAAGATTTTGTTTGGTAGCTGAATGTCTGACTCAGTAAATTTCTTGCCTTTCTGACATAAAATTCTGTTAAGCCAGTTTTTCTTCATCTTTTATTTGTGTTAGGAATTTTTATTTATCCACATTACGTTTTTTAGTTTCCATTCCGTTGATTTAGGGTCTTTAGATACTTTGGAGTATTAACATCCCAAACTATCACATTAGCTATTTATGCCACCTTTGTATCATTTCCAAATTTTAAAAGGATGTATTCCTTTATTACCTTAAATGATTGAGTAAAATAAACAATATAAATCAAGAGATCAATTTCTCTTATCATTGGAGAATTCCTAATAGGTTGAAATGTTCTATTAATTGATTATCTTAGGTATCATTCATTATGTTACCCAAAATTCTCCTGAATGAATCAATATTTTTCTCAGTTTTTATTTAATAAATTCACAATGTTGTAACGATTTTGAAAAGAGCATCCTTGCTGAAATAGAAGTAATATTGAAAGGAAGAAAGGCAGCATATTTTAGTTATTTAAAGCATGTGTTCTGAAAAAAGACTACTTGGATTTGCATTTCGACTTTATCACCTCCAACCAGTGTGACCATAGACAAATTATTTAATATATTTGTATTCGTATGTAATAACAATACTACCCCATTAGGTTGTCATAATGATTAAATTACTATTTATATAATCTTTGGAAGTCTTTCTATACCGACATGATTTTCATCTTAT